CGTCTTGTGCTTCTCAACTTAGGAGCTGAGATGGTTCAGTTTCTGTATTTACTAGCTATAGGCTTGATGAAGGAGGTTCGATTCCTGACAGAGCCAGAAATTATTCTCTTCGTCAACGTGGCTCTAGAGCCCACCTAGCCTATTATCCAGTTGGTTCTATGTGCTATTTCTCCAGGGATAAAGCCGTCGAGGCGTGAAGCTGGCCACTCATCTCTGACTACTGCCGAGGCTAAGAATGCATGGACCTATACATCCACGCCTTCATACGTCATCGTGGCGTTGGGTTTAATTGATTGCAAGAACAACCTTACCTTAACCTTCATTGTCGTAGCTAGAGAAGGAAGTAGATTGAAGCTAATTGGTAAGGTGATAGTTCCAATTTCGGTAACCTTTTAAAGCCCAGCGGTTGCTACTTATACCGCCTGCTTTAACATAGAAAAAAGAGAAAGCCTACATTCTGCACACAGAATGTATTTATATGGTCCTTATGGCTCTGACAAGAAACAAAAACTCTTTCCCTATGCAACATTAACCGGTTGATCTCTGGAGCACGGGCGTAATATGTTTCCTATGAGGTACGAACTCCATGGAGCTCAGTCCTTCTTGAGAGGCCACCACGCGCTCATCTACTCAAGAATTTCCGAACTTTTATGGAACCCGGAAGTTCATTACTGCGTTCACAAGAGCCTGCTTCTGGTCCCTGGCCTGAGCCAGATGAATTCAGTCCATACCACCCCATCCTATTTATCTTAAGATTATTTTAATATCAGCCTCTCTCGTACTTGTAGGTCTTCCTAGTGGTATTTTTCCTTTTGGCTTTCCCACAAAAATCCTCTCCCCTTCGTACTACATGCCCTGTCATCCTCTTTGATTTTACATTCTGATTGTATTTGGCGAAGGAAACTCTTCATTATTCAGTTTTCTCCAGCCTCCTAATATATCATCCCTCCTGGGTTCAAACATTCTTCCCAGCGCACTCTTCTCAAGAACTTTCAGTCTCTGTTGTTCCCTCAATGTTAGAGACCAAGTTTCACACCTGTACAAACCTACATGCAAAAATATTTACACAAAGATATATTCTTCTGCCTTGAATACTCTATGGAAATTCGTGGAAATATTTTGAAACAGCATAAACTTAAAAGAGACTTCTGTCTTCTGGGATATAACTCTTCATAGCGACCGCTGTGAGAACCTCAAATCCTATATAGCATAAACATAAGTTTGTAATTCTGACTTAGGAGTTTTTGTTACCGTCTAAGTGCAGCGGAGTTCACTATTTTTTCGTATTTCTCTGTTGAACACTACATGTCTCGGACATCTTGAGGAGTGCAGGTTGTTGTTATGGATTCTACTGCCCACAGTAATGCCGTTTTCTTTCCAGCTATTGTATTTGGTTATGTGGGTTACACGTGGTTGCTTTTGGTTTTGTTTGGTTTGCTGGTTGTGGTATTACAGTGAGCAGGAGAATCCTTAACCACAACAACCTGTACTCCTGAAGATGGCCGAAACATGTAGAGTCCAACAAAAGAATACGAAAAATAGTGAACTCCGTTGCATTTATACGGCACAAAAACTCATAAATCAGATCCATACGGTGCAACAGGATGCTGGAACGTAACATACGTTTATAAGTAGAAGTTCTGGTTGGCCCCTCCTGGGAGACGCCCATGAAAGTGTTGAAATACGACAAAATCGTGGAGAGAAGTTTAATGAACGGATGGGATTGAGGCGTAACTGTGCTGGTTCCTACCTGCTGGTTGACTGCCGCCCTGAAGTTATTCCAAGACGGAACCGCTGGTTCCTGTGGAGGAGCCGTGGCCGCATGCTGCAACAGCAGCATCAGCGGCAGCAGTAGCATGACCTTCGCGCTGTTCTCTGCTGCCAGTCCGCACTGTACTATAAGGAGGATTCTTGTCAAAGTCTGATGACACTTCGCTTATGTTCCGACGTTTGCTTCATAGAGACCGCCGCAGTCGCAACCAATTTGTTTGTATTATTCGTATCAAAAACGTTTATTCGCTTATGTGCCGTTTATGTATGAAGAGATCTAAGGTTTGTTTTCACTGCGGTCCATTAGGCGTCATGGCTATAAATAAGTGACCTCCATCCTGCTTGAGGTTTTCGTGGTGTCGTTTGGTTTACAGTGAATAATTTGGACAGCCCCAATGACCGCGCGGCACGCGGTAGCGTAGTTGGTTGAGGCTACAAGCTACAAGCTGGAAGGTAGCTGGTTCGATTCTCGATGAGATCATTGGATATTTTCAGTTTACCTAATCCTTCCAGCCGCACTATGGCCCTGGATTCGACTCAGCCTCTGACAGAAATGAGTACCAGAAATCTTACTAGGGGTGGGGGGTGAAGGGCGGCCGGCGCGTAAGACTGACAACCTTACCGCCATCTGTGAGTCGATTGCGTAGAAAATGTGGGAGCCCCGACGTCACACAACCCTATGGGCCTTCACGGCTTGTTACAGGGATAGCTTTTACCAATGACCACGATTTTTGTTTTGAAACTCTACCTGAAATTTGACATAAGTCTGCATTGGGGACCTGCCTTTAGAAAGGTTGTACCATTTGTTCCTCCCCGCTGAACTTAGCTGCATATGAAGTGAAGGCTTTTGGAACCATATTTCCGTGTTTCGTCTGCATATCCGTCTCCCCCCCCCAAAATGGCCCTACGTGTGAATGTCATGTCCCAAACTGTGTTATTCTTTTTAATGTCCCTAGTGACAGTAATTCTATCATAGCGAAAACACGAATGTGTGAAATTCAGAAAGAGTATTGTCATTTTTTTATTATTTTGCAGTTTATAAAGCTACAGATCTTAAAAAATATAATTTATTTTAATGAGATCAACTTGTTATCTATATGTATGTCTCCCATATCAACTTCTGAACCGATTGATCGATTTATACGAAATTTGGTATTAACGTTATGCCACAGGATTCTACCCCAGCGCCGTACTTTTTTCTAATATTCTACAGTCAGGATAAGAACACGAGGGTGCGTGAACGTATGGGATATGAGCGACATGAAGACATTCAATTCAGGGTTCTGAATTCGAAAAATGTGCATCTTTTATTATAGTGCCTCTTTTTTCGTTATAGATTAACAGCGTGTCGGTTGTGCGAAGAGTTTTCTTTAGCTTTCCGTGCTATGGCAATCGCTTGTGGACCATTTTAGTTGAGCTTGTGAAATTTGGTATGGAGGTGGTTGATAAGCACACGTACGCAGTATGTATACCATGTCTATAAGTCAGCAGCCACATACAGATACGATGGAAATGCGAATCCTTGCAGTTGTTTTCGAGGAATTTGACAGAGAGAGGAATCCCTGCATGAATGGTTTGAAGCTTCCACGGCGACCACTATACAGTGAAGTCTTCTCTATGGGTGGGAGAGAGAAAAAGGTAAAGCTATCCCTGTAACACTATGTGAAGGCCCATGGCGTTGTGAGACGTCGAGGTTCCCACATTTTCTAGACAATTGGCTCACAGATGGTGGTGAAGTTGTCAGCCTTACGCGCCGGTCGCCCTTTACCCCAAGAAGATTCCTGGTACTAAGTCAACACCAAGGTCATAGCGCGGCTGTAAGGATTATGTCAATTAAAAAATCCAGTGCCCTCATAGGGAATCGAACCTGAGACCTTCCGGCTTGTAGCGTAGTGCCTCAACCAGCTACGCTACGACATGCCCAATTTTGTCGGTGGATGAGTTCTGTTAATGTTTAGTTACTGTCCGACGTTTCAGAGATTCTAACACCAGGGAGTAGTGTGCTGATGGGGACAAGAGACAGTCTCTGAAACGTCGGACAGTAACTATAAATTAATACGGCTGATCTCCCGAGAAAAATTCAGTGAGCGTCTACATAACTAAGGCTTGCTTCATGAAACTAAAATAAAATGTTTCTGGACTTGTGGGACGAGAGTTGTATGCGGCAAGAAAGTATGCTTGAAGGGCTGTAGTAGGAACTCTTGCCGCGCTGTTGTATTCTTCATGTAGCATTGAGATGTGAAGCTGTAGAGACTCGTGAAAATAAGTTACTTCTTACTGCACGTGACCTTTGTTGAACTGGCCCGAGATATAAATGAAAATCTTTGTTTTGATATGCAGATTTGTGGCGTTTAATGACTGTTATCTAAACGCAGACACTGTGAAGGCAGCCGCTGCCAGATGCTGCCGACTTCACTGCACTGATCCCTTACGTCCCCATGCGTGGTCGAACGTAATAAAGAAAATCGCGCTCTTTTATCGTCTAATCGCTTAATTGTCCAAAAAATATCAGAGGCCCGTAGAATTCGGTATTTGAAACTGCGTTTCTCGTGTATTCGGGATGTAAGTTATCATGCTCAAAATTTCGATCAAACCTCCTTTTCAGTGGGTAAAAGGAACAGTTTCCCCGGGGGTAAAGCGGACGGGGCGTAAAGCTGACCACCTCCATCTAGTGTCGTGGTCAAGAATGGTTGGGCTATACCTCCATTCCCCCCATATGTCTACATGGCATAGCGTTTAATTAAGCACAGGAACAACTTTACGTTTTTTATCATATTTCGTGAACTTTGTGATTTCTTGTCTTTTAGGCATTAGGTCATGATCGCTTCCTTGCACTTCCTTTTGTTATTCACTAACCATTCAATTTATTTATTTGAATTCTCTAGAGCCGGGATGTCTCGGTCGATATATATGCGGGCTATACGACTTGGGTTCAATTCCCGGCAGGGGCAAGCGATGTTTTTCTTCTCCGTTGTGTCCATACCTGCTCTGGGGCCCACCGTCATCTCTTTACCCGGGAGTAAAGCGAGCGCGGTGTGAAGCTGACCACTCACCTCCCTCTAGTTCCCAGGTCAAGAATGGTGGCGCTGCGCTTAACTAATTGAGCACTACTCCATGAAGGTGTATGGGGGAGCGGATATATAGATCCACATTTTCTTGACCTCGGCACTAGTTGGAGGTGAGTGGTCAGCTTCACGTCCTTGCCGTTTTACCCCCGGGGATAGAGCCCGCCATACCCATTGGATAGGTTGGGTGAACCCCAGAGCAGTTCTGGACGACGTGGAGAAGAGAAAATTCTTGTCCCTGTAAAGAATGGTTCAAACCAAAGTTCTAGATGGAAGTGAAACGCAAATTTTATTGACTAATATACTTTTCCATGAGACGTGGAGTTTTCGAGACAGGTAAATAAAATTGAAGGGACAATTCTTACGCCACGTGTTGGTTCCATAAATTGTTCTTTTTACCGCGAAATTCATAATTACCCATTTGGCCACTTAACATCCATTTAGCGAAGTTAATTAATAGAATTTTAGCTTCACGTCCCTTATTTTTCCCGCTTCCAGAATGACTTTGGAATTTACCAGTTCATGCCCATGGGACATGGGAACTGTACTTCCTGTGTCACAGAGGAGTTAACAGTGGAGACATTCTTTCCTGCATGTAGGCCCATTCACACTATTCGTGGCGTCACCGACATGGCTTGGAACATCACCGGAGTATTCATGTCGGCCCGCTCACATCGGACAGACGCCGGACCGTCACAGTTGTATTTCTCCGACGCCTGTAGCTTTTTGTTTCCTAGGACCGACAGATATTGGCACTTCAAAACATTCTTTCCAACTTTGTTGGCCGTTGCCTGTAGGCGGCTGTTCTTGTTGGTGATATATAGTGTGATCATAGGTAAAGTGGTCCCACTGCTTAACTAATTAAGCACTATACCTTGGAGGCGTATGGGAGATTGGATGCATAGATCCACATTTTCTCGACCTCAGCACTAGCTGGAGGTGAGTGGTCAGCTTCACGCCCCTGCCTCTCTACCCCCGCGGAAAGAGCCCCCGGTACCCATTGGATAGGTTTGGTGAACCCCAGAGCCGGTCTGGACGATATGGAGAAGAGAAAGTTCTGACCCTACCGGGACTCGAACTCCGATTCCTCGGTCCCCTAACCCGTAGGCAGTCGCTATACCGACTGTGCTACATGCTTGTTGAAATACAGAGTAATTCTAAATTGTCGGGGTTTCCGCTTATGGGCTACCCTCTACATTTGAGGATACAGTAAACCCTCGCTAATCCGCTTTAGCTGGGGGAGGGGGTGAACCGGATTAATCTATACTCCGAATTAGTGAAGCAAAAGGTAACCATAAAAGTCGAACAAACTTATAACACAAATGAGAAATTTAATGATATAAGTAGTGCTGTTGAAAATAAATAACAAAATATCACTGTAGAGCCTTTGTTTAAAAACTATAAAAAAACAATACATTTATTCGTCGATAGAAGACTCAGATGTTGAACTTGTTTTTGAACGTAATAATTTCAGGTTTGAAGAAACTGTCGAAGTGTTGCCTGAACAGACAAGTGACTCATCTGCCTTCCTAAATGCCATGTGTCTTTTGAAGTACGTACTCAGCTGTGAACATCATTTTTCGTATTTCGATCCGGATTAGCGAGAGTTTACAGTATTTTGTTCATGGTCCGTCTCCTGTCGGCTTCGTTACGTATAACGTGAATGGGCCTTATTTTGGATGCTTAGCGCAAATTGAAGCCTTAAAGCATTCATCACACGATTAAATTAATTAACATAATTTACTGGTGACAAGTGTAAGATGTTGCTGGAAATTATCCCCATGACATCATGCGAGACTTATGCATAAGAGCCCTGCCGTTGTTGCAGCGCAGTGCAGGCTACTCTAAGACGAGTGCGCCTCGCGTTGCGCAGAAGCGCGTTTCGTGTTCTTGCATTTATGAAAATGGTTCTTTAGCCTGCTTTCCGTATTTTAAAGCATAAAAGGAGGGTTATGTAAACACCTTGCTGTGTGTGTGTCTCCTCCCCCACCCCAACGTTGCTACAACGGCTCTGTAAACACGTTCCCGCGGCAAGGAATACAAAACAAACTCCTTGGTTTTAGTCCGCAAGCAAACTATACCAACAGAGCGACCACCGTTTGTCGGCGAAG